CCGGATCATTTCTTTTTATTCTGATCTGCTGGTATGATCTACTTCTTTCTTTACTGGATAACATGTCTTTTTCTGCTTTATATTTGTATTGATTTATCTTCATTTTGCTTAAAAGCAACTCGAAAACAAGACAGAAATTTCCATCCAGTGGCTCACTCCCCACATGTCAGCAACAGCTGGGGCAGGGCTCAGGTCTAAGTTGAATTTGAAAGCTAGGAGCTTCAAATTCAACTTAGATCCCTCCTGTGGAGTTAGAGACCTAACTACTTGAGCCATCATTTGCCGCCTTCCCAGGGTGCACCTTAGCAGGAAGCCAGATAGGAAGCAGATCTGTAACTTGAGCCAGGCACACCAATACAGGACATAGGTATCCCAAGCAGCATTTTGGCTGAATGTCCATCCCAATGAGTCTTTTATTGATCTGTGGGTGTTCTTCAAAACAGCCCAGATGCTACTCATTTGTTAACATATCTTTCAAATATCTTCTTCAAGTTTGCCTTAAATTTGTCAATCTTTTTATTTAGACTTGTGTTTTGTGTGCCTTGTTTGAGACATTCTTCCCTGTGTCAATGGCATAAAGACAGCCTCCCATATTTTCTTTCAATTTGTTTTATGCATAAAGGTCATTTACAACCTTCCCTTTATGGAATAAGGCAAGGGTTAAGTTTTTGGGGGGTGTTTTTTTGTTTGTTTGGTTTTGGTTTTGGTTTTGGTTTTTGGCCATTTGGATCACCAACTGTCCCAGTCCAATTTCACATTTTCCCCAATAATCTGGATGACCACTTGCGTCATGCAGTGAGGCTGATCAGCTAAGAGACTGTGTGCCAATCCCTTGCTCTTTGTGTCTGTCACACCTGAGCTTCAATCTCATCATCATCATACCTCACACTTGAATAGCACAACACAATTCACAAAGCTCTGCCAAACCCATTATCCAATCCAAACCTCAAAATGGTCCTATAAATTAAAGGTTCTTAATCCCATTTATTGAGATGAAGAGACCAAGCTCATAAAGGTTAAGTGAATTATCCACAGTCATCAGAGAGGAAATGAAACAGCAAGGGCACAGTCTCTCGCATTCAGTTCCACTCTTTCCACCTCAAACGGCTTCCAGCACAGCTATGCCCTTTGTCCACATACATGTAAGACAAACAACAGCCGTGGTAAGTGAGCAAATACTCCAGCAAGTCTGGTTGTCGGGACAAACACGCCCACTCTTCTCATCTTCAATGTAAATTCTATTCCAAAAGTAAGACTGCTTTAGCTGTCCCCATCCCTACTCCTGTTCACCTCACAGACAACGCCTCCTTAAAGCCTTTTTGCGCCTGCCGCTTCCTCACATCGGCAGCAGTGTCCTGTCAGTCACCAGCCCTGCAGTTCCAACATCACCATCAAAGGGATGTGACACCTGGACAGTTCCCTAGGTCTCAGGTGAGATGGTGGCACGGCTGATGCTCTCAAACTGCAACCCAAACGCACACAAAGCCATGGGACATGCTACAGAAAGCAGGGGGCATAGAGTTGGCCAGGCAACCATCACCTAGATTAACCACAGACTGGGGGAGAGCCTGCTAAACAGCTTTTAGTGTACAAATGAATTGCTTCATCTTCAGGCAGAACCACTGATTTCAACAGAGCCTACACAGAGTAATCAATTGATGAAAGAGAGACGGGAGAGAAAGGAAAGCAAAAACAAGAGCAGTGCTGACATCTCAGGGCAGAGCAGACACGGCATCAGAGCAGAACCACCACGTGTGGTTCTGCTAAACAATCTCATGAAACATCAACCTCCCACAGGCTGCCCTGAAGTCTTGCTAGCACGAAGCAGGGCTTCTTCATAATTCTGTGTGAGCACAAACCCACAACCAGCAGGCCACTCACAGAATACCAAATGTCCTCCCTTTCTTAACCAAATTGAAGTGGCAGTGACTTCTCCTTTCGTTTAAGTTTTATTCTTGTCCCAGTCTCCTCATCTAGCAGATATGACTTACTCACACAGCCAACCAGATATCAGAATTGGCCCTGTTTTCTGACAGAATCTAAAGTGGATGCCCACTTCCTAAAACCCTCTCCCAATTACCAACACCTAATCCTGGAATTGGTTCCAACGCCCTTTTAATGAGACACCCCACACTTCCCTAGAGTGTGCTCTCAAACTACTGGTATGTTCCCCATGGTCTCTGTATAGGGGACCATGGCAGAAAAAAAGTATCAAATGAAAAGTATTCACAGGGCCCAGAGTGGTGGCCTAGTGGCTAAAGTCCTCACCTTGAAAGCACAGGAATCCCATTTGGGCACTGGTTCTAATCCCGGCAGCTCCACTTCCTATCCAGCTCCCTGCTTGTGGCCTGGGAAAGCAACTGAGGACGGCCCAAAGCCTTGGGACCCTGCACCCATGAGGGAGACCTGGAGGAAGTTCCTGGAAGTTCCTGGATTCTGGCTTTGGATTGGTGGAGCACAGGCCATAGCAGTCACTTGGGGAGTGAAATCATCAGATGGAAGATCTTCCTCTCTGTCTCTCCTCCTCTCTGTATATGACTTTGCAATAAAAGTAAAATAAATATTTTTTAAAAAAAAAATTTTAAAAGTATCCACAAGTCCTCCTGGTTCTCTTTCTGGAAAGTTCTCCTGGTTTGAGATGAATAGTTCTTCTTTCTGAATGATATCTCTAAAGAAACAGAACAAATTCTAGTGCAACACCCAGTTCTAATTCTACCGATACACAAATTCATGAACAAAACTTTTTCTCTGGGGTCAGCACTGTGGGTCAACACACTAATCCTCCACCTGCTAGTGCCATCATTCCATTTGGGCACCAGTTTGTGTCTCTGCTGCTCCACTTCCAATCCATCTCCCTGCCTTAGGCCTAGGACAGGGCGGAGGATGGCCCAGTGCTTGGACCCCTGCACCCAAGTGAAATGACCCAGAAGAGGCTCTTGGCTTCAGATTGCCTCAACTCTGGCTGTTGCAGGCCTTTGGGGGAGTGAACCAACAGACTGAAGATCTTTCTCTCTCTTTTTCTGTAAATCTACCTTGCAAATAAAAACAAATAAATACTTCAATTTTTTCTCTATATATAATAATATACATGCTTCTAAAACAGTATGTCCTTGGAAAGCAGAAGTCTGTCTGACTCAGCTTTGTAAATGTGTAGCAGCTCACACACATCAGAGGACTTGTTGTTACGAATGGCATTATTTGTAATTTTTAAACATATAGTATTTGAACTGGATGCCTCAGAACTGCAAATGCCAAAACCTGAGAAAAACAAAACCTCGACTGGGGAAAAAAAATGCATTTTTCAAAAGAAAAATTTTTTAATTATTTATTTTTAAAGAGAGGGAAGGAGAGACAGAGAGAGAACAAGATCTTTAATTCAGTAGTTCATTCCCCAAATGGCCTCAACAGGCAGAACAGGGTGGTTGAAAGCCAGGCGTTTCCTCCAGGTCTCCAATGTTCCCTCCCCCACCCCATTTTAAATTATCTCCAAAAGATAATTTTAATTTTCCCTACCATAATATCTTATAATTATTACATATTTCATATATACCTCTGTATTTCTAAACATACCAAATATGATTAGTATTATCACATTTCTTCACTATAAAAGGCTTAGCTGTTTCAGCAAAAAATATATAAGTATGGGTCATTTTCTAATTTGTCTAATTTCCTCTTTGCATCATCACCCCCTTTAAAAAAAAAAGTATCTGCCAGTAGCTTCACAGACATTCCAGAATATTCTACTCAATCACGTGGTAGACATCTAGAGAAAGCGGAGCCTGACTTTAACCTGGTCAATGTATTGCTTAATGACACACTAAAAGAGGCTGTAAAAACACACATTCTGTACTTGTGCTTTTGACTGTTAAAAGAACTCGCTCTGGACAGCGATCAAAGTCCCCACCCGCAAGAGATTTCTCCCAGTTAAGATTAAAGCACCCTGAAGCCCAGTGGAGGGAGACGGCGCCATTCATTCATTCATCCTCTGAGCCAAAAATACAGTTCAGTCAGTTTTAACCCATTAAACGATGCATGACACAATGCCACACACCCCACTGAAGGAGCCCTGGGCTCAGAACGATTTCCATCTTCCACTTCCAAAGCAAACACGAAGTACAACACTCCCAGGGCAGCCACACTCCGGCCACGATTCCAGACAAGGGGACCGACGTGGGCACCGGGCCACAGACGTCAAGGAGCGCTGAGGAGGCAGCGTGACCGGGGAGAGAACATTCTAGATGGAAAACTCCAGCGCCCCCCACACCGGAAGCCTTGTTGGTCTGGGCAGGGAAGCGGGGGCACCTAGATGAGGGGCGGGGCATGACGTAAAACATCAACGCTTCATCAACTGAAGAGAAATCTTGACGCAACTCAGTAAGCTTGAGCTCCCAGCCTTCAGAACGGGGGGAGGGGGCGGGAAGAGGGGGCGGCGATCGGTTTCCTCAGATCCCGTTAATGTTAAAATGAAAAGTGCTAGAATGATCGCTACCCCTAAACGGTTAGGAGGTGGGTGTGGCCACCTCCCCCAGGCAGGGGCAGCCTCGTAAAGGTTCCAGGACCAGACGCGTCTTGTCTGGCCGCACAGCCAAGCCTCGCCCTGCCCCTCGTCACTTTGCAACCTCCAGACCCAACCGGCTCCTTCTCCCCCTCGGTCCCCACCCCGGTCTCCAAGGCCCTCAGACATCCCCAATTCCTCCCGCGGTCGGGGGCGCCGGCTCCCGTCAGGCCACTGCGGACAGCGAACAAAGAGAGGGCCTGGTGGGTCCCCGGCCCAAGGCAGACTCCCCGGCCCACGGCCATGGGCAGCCTCCCAGGCCCTCGGTGGGTCCCCGGCCCTCGGCGATGGCAGACCCCACAGTCTCTGCAAGCCCTCGCCGCGCTGGCTGGCGCCCTGCAGGGCTGCCCCGCGCGCGCACGGACAAAGCGGAGCAGGATCGAGGCAAGTCGCCCTCCTCCCGCCGGGGTCGCGTCCCGCGCGCAGCCCGCCTCGGCTCTCGTACCTGCACGTCACTCAGCTCCACGCGCAGATACAGCTCGCGGTGTCGCTGAGCCCAGTAGACGTGCGGCGTCAACACCTGATTCTCCATGGCCACGCTGTCCCGGGCGCAGGAGAGGCTCGCCTCGCGCTTCTCTCGCTGCCTCGCTTAGTGCGTGCCGGGAGCAGGGCGAACGCAGGCCGCAAACCCCACAAAACCTGCACGCCGCTGGCAGCCCGGCAGCCTCGAGACGCCCCCACCGCGCTCGCGGGCCGCGCCTGCGCAGTGACGCGCCCGTGGAGGGGCCGGGCCTGGCGCAGTGACGCGCCCGTGGAGGGGCGGGGCCAGGACGCAGTGACGCCACCGAAGGCCGCGGCTGACTCCACGGTCGTCGTCAGCCGAGCTTTCCCCCGGTTGCAGCGCTGCTTTAAAAATATATATATTTTAAAAAGTAAGGAAAGGCTGGCGACGGGTCAAGGGCCGGTCAGCATAGAAAAAGGGCTTGGCGCCGCTGTCTCTGGAAGGTCCCTTCTGGCTGTCACTCATTCAGCATTGATTAAACGCCTGCTGTGTGCCTGAGTTTCGCAGCTGAGCTCAGCGTCAGGGACACGACGCAGCCCCAGCCTCAACCACGGTCTAGGAGTCTAGGAGTCCGGTCTGTCAAAAGACGCAAGTAATTCTAGAATTTTAAATTTTTAAAATTTATAGCCCTTTAGTTGGCCTCAAATGAGTGGTGGCAATTCTACTGAGCATTGCAAGAGTCTCTTAAAAGGAATCTGGAACTATGTCCTTTTAACTAGTTATTTATTTGAAAATTGGAAAGAGAAAGGGAGAGTCAGAAATTTTTCCATTCGCACGTTGAACCCCCAGATGATCCCAAGGCTCAGGGCTGGACAAGGTCAAAACCAGGAGCCTGGAGCTTCTTCCAGGTCTCCCAGGTGGGTACAAAGCCCCAAGCACGCAAACCATATTACACTGTGCATTCGCAGGGAGCTGGAGCAGCTGGGACTCCAACCAGCAGTCCCTGTGGAGCCAGGTGTGGCAAGCGATGGCTTGACCCACAATGCAGATACATTGTACTTATCCAAACTGTTATCTGTAACCAGTTTCATGTCCAAGTTCTCCTGCAATGAATAATTTCATACCAGGAGTATTTCTGTGAACACTAGAAAGTCTGATGGGGGAAAAAATGGAACTTAGAATTCAGTTCCATGTGTCTTTAGCAAAGCACCGAAGGCAGGGATCCAGCAACAGAGAGATGATGCCAGCCACCCTCAGGAAACACTTCAGTGGGTGGATCATGTAACTTAGAGGGCTGAAAATGGCTGATCTGGCAAATGAGGCGGGAAGGTGAACCGTGACTGGGGTAGGTAGGCGCCTGGGCAAACACTGGAGAGTGATTGCTGGAGAGCCGGAATGTAACAGGAGAGGAGAAGTTGCAGCAGCCACGTAGGTGGAGCAGGGGAAGCACAGGGCTGAGTCCAAAGGTGAGGCGATCTGGAAAGCTCTGTGGGCCAGGGTACAGGAGCAGGAAGACCGGGGGCGGAGCAGGCAGAAAGGGAGTGGATTCAGAAACCTTAGTTCACAGAGGTGCTATGGGTGCCTACACAGCCTGGGGCAATCACATGAGAACCCAGAAGGGTTCTTCAACACGACCTTAGCGGAAACAAATATGGGATTGGGAAGGGAAGCGACACAGTAACCTTCATAGCCTTGAATTTGAAAACTAAGATATTTGCCCATGATAAAAGTATTTTTATTACATTCTGTTCATTACCATGCAGGTACAATAGAGCGCACTTGCTTTAAAGATGAAATACAATACTGCAGCAAGGTGGAGGAATCCACCATGGAAGGAGGGTGTGGGGAGGGGTTGGAGGAATCCCAGAGCCTATGAAACTGTGTCACATAATGCAGTGTAATTGAAAATAAAAAGATGAAATACAGCTCACACATGGACAGGTTAGCATTGTGACACAGCAAGTTAAGCCCCGGCTTGCCATGCCAGTATCTCATACTGAAGTACCTCCCAGTTGGAATCTCAGCTGCGCTACCTCTATTCCAGCTCCCTGCTGGTGTGCCTAGCAAGGCAGTGGGAGTATCTGGGCCCCTGGCACATGTGTGGGAGACCCACATGGAGTTCCCAGATTCTGACTTCAGTGTGAGCCATATTTAGCTTTTGCGAGAATTTCAGGAATAAACCAATAGATGAACAATCTCTTTGTTTCTTTCTGTATTTCTCTCCTTCTGTTGCTGTCACTCTGGTTTTTTTTTTTCGAATAAATGTGTCTTTTTGGAAAACTTTTGTACAGGAAATGGACAAATGTTCAACTTAAGATGAATTCTTACATATATTTATGCTTGTGTTATTATTATCTAGGTTGGGTTGCAATCTGAAGCATTCAGCTGCTTCCCAAAGTTACTTCATCTCAGTGTCACTGCCCCTGTCCTCTCCATAATTACTATTCTGACATGTCACCATTAAGTAATGTTTGTCTTTGAATTTTGCATACATGAAAACTATTGAATTCACACTTTTGTATCTAATGAAAAAAAATTTTAAAGGTATATTTGGGGCCCAGTGCAGTAGCCTCATGGCTAAAATCCTCACCTTGCATGCACTGGGATCCCATATGGGTGCCAGTTCTAATCCTGGCATCCCCACTTCCTTCCCAGCTTCCTGCTTGTGGCCTGGGAAAGCAATTGAGGATGACCCAAAGCTTTGGGACCCTGCACCCGCGTGGGAGACCTGGAAGAAGCTCCGGCCATTGCAACCATGTAAGGAGTGAATCAGTGGACGGAAGATCTTTCTCTCTGTCTCTCCTCCTCTCTGTATATCTGAGTTTCCAATAAGCAGCACACATGAGAACCAAGGAGGGAAGGGGGAAGGCCGGCAGGGGGAATGTGGGCTCACCTGCTGGACAACCACTCCCACTGGAGAGCATGGGTTGGAATGGGAGCGGACCAGGCCAGGCAGGGCTGCAACACCTGTGGGCCTCATGTGAACTAGATCAGGGAAAAATCAGGTTGAGCTGACTTCCGACTGGTGCAAGCAAAAGTTGGGTGGGTGAGGGTTGGTTGGGCTTTGTTGCAGCATCAGCTGGCAGGGGCTGGCACTGGAGGCTAAATCTGTCAAGTTGAATTCCAGAACCACCTGGAGAGTGCATAATCTGGGAGTGGGAGTGGCCTAGAAGGGAAATAGTGGGCTCCTCCATCTTGGGTTACCACTCCCACTGGACAGCATGAAAACCAGGGCAGGGGTGACTAGACAGAAAGGCACCCAACAGCATGTGTGTGGGCTGGATACTGGGACTGGTTGGGTTGAACTAGGCTTCAATGCCCATTGACATTTATGAGAGTCAAATGGAATGTGGGACAGACTGGACTAGTCTGCTGCACATACTGGCAAACCAGGGTAGGGAGCGGGCCTGGTGGGAGTTATTATGGGTCGCTCTGACTAGGCTGCAGCTCCCACTGGTTTATGTGAGGGCTGAGTGTGTGCTGGACAGAACCAGGCTGGACTGCAACACCCATTGATTCCAGTGGAAGACAAGGTTGGTAACAGAACCGACCCAGCAATTGCAACCACCAGTTGATTGGGGCAATGGATTGTACTGGGCCCTGTACTTGCAAGTACACACAAGAATCTAGTCTGGGGGCCCGGCGCGGTGGCGCAAGTGGTTAAGTCCTCGCCTTGCACGCCCGGGATCCCATATGGGCGCCGGTTCTAATCCCGGCAGCCCCGCTTCCCTTCCAGCTCCCTGCCTGTGGCCTGGGAAAGCAGTTGAGGACGGCCCAAAGCTTTGGGACCCTGCACCCGCGTGGGAGACCCGGAAGAGGCTCCTGGCTTCGGATCGGCATAGTATCGGCCCGTTGCGGCTCACTTGGGGAGTGAATCATCGGATGGAAGATCTTCCTCTCTGTCTCTCCTCTCTGTATATCCGCCTTTCCAATAAAAAAATAATAAAAATAAATCTTTAAAAAAAAAAAAAAAGAATCTAGTCTGGGATCACCTCAGACATTTTCTTTTGGGATCTCCCCAAAATAACCTGAAAAATAACCTTAAAAAAAAAAGCTATATCCCCTGAAGCCAGTGTCTAGTTGGACACTCCACTCCCTATTTCTTTGTGGGGGCAGTGCTTTCCTATTGAGTCCTGCCGAACTCAGGACCCATGGTTTGCCATGGAGTGCAAGTGCAAGAGCCGAACCTCCTCAGAGGCTCAGATGGAGCAGTGGAGAGCATAACCAGGTGCACATGGAGGATATGGCAGTCAATCGGAACCTGCAGAGGACACCTGGCATCACAACAGAGGACAGAACAAGTCAATCAACTACCCCAGCAATATGTTGGCAGTGAAACACTGGGCAAACAGAGACTCTAAGATGGACTATGTCAATCAGTGGATTCTGCAGCAATCTCATCGTGCTTGGAATGGCGAGATTGGCAGCAATTCAGAACTGTTGAACTATCAAAACCACTTGAGCAGGACCCTCGCAGCATGCCCCACATCAGGGACTGGCATGGGTGGGAGACTGGGTGGGGTTTCTCCCTTTATCTCCCCCTTTACCGCAGATACAGGGAAAAAACAAAGTGGAAATAATAGTCTTACCCACTTTCCTGTAGCCCTTGAACCTTTGTGCCCTAATTAACTATGTAGAGATTGTCAAAAGTAAAGGAAAAAATAGAAAAGAAAAAACATGCTTTGCATGATTTCAATTTTTTTAAAGTCACTTATAAAAAAAAAAAGAAGAAGATATATTTGATCTTTTCTCTGCTTTCATTCTTCTAAATGGCTGCAACAGCCACGAGTCTGCATCTCCATCCGGGTCTCCCCCATGAGTGGCAGGGGTTAAAGTAGTTAGACCATCTTCTACCACTTTCCCAGAAACATTATCAGAGACATGTGTTGCCATCACAGCTCTGTGGGTTCTTTACTCTCCTTAGTATGGAAATTTTTAAAAAGCTGGGAAGCAAGACCAAGCATAACAGAATCTTTATTCAAAGTGAATCAATAGGAAAGCACTGCCCCACGAAGAAATGGGGAGTAGAGTGTCCAACTAGACTCTGGCTTCAGGGGAAATAGCTTTTTTTCTTTTTAAGGTTATTTTTTCCTTTCTTTTCCAAATCATGAGTGTAGGGGGGACACAGGTGTCTAGGCTGACAGAGGTATCTTGAATGACAGTATTCAAGCCATAATCTTGTCCTATTCTGGGCACGTGACCTGTAGCCTCCCACTGCAT